GTCAAGAAAGCGCTTTTGTTGATATAAGCCGGCAAAATAAACTATGACAAAGATGTTAAAACCTAAGGTGGTCAGATGTTAGATGTTACCATATTTTGGTCAAAGCTAGTTCTGAGGCAGGGAGTTAGTATCATATCTTGCATTTTCCTGCCTCTTCTGCTTTGATAATCCTACTTCTTTTGTTACCTGCAAAGATCTGACTGCAAAATCATCTGGTAATGCAAACTGCCATTCACTGTATATCCTTCCCAATATTCTAACTTATACTCAGGCCACGTGGTGTTACAGAGGTCAGCAAGACATTTCTTATCTAGACTTCCTACTTGGAAGCTCCTCTGGTGTTTTAAGGAGCAATCCATAGGAGAATGTTTAGGTACTGATGTGGAATTTCCCATATTTCCTAATTGCAAGCAATAATCTATGAAAAAGATGGTTCCTTGGCAAAACTTTTCTTCAGGTCTATCCAAGGGGACTCGAACCCCTTTACTCTGGCTTCTCCCGAGGGGACTCTAACCTCCCGTGTATTGGCCTTCACTTTGGCTTCTCCCAAGGGGACTCTAACCCCCTCTATACCCTGGCCTCTGCCGAGGGGACTCAAACCCCCCACTAAATTGGCCTCTTGTCAGAGGCTCACTGGATTTGGACCGTCTCCACCAATGGCCTCTGCTTCCACCACAGGCGTCCCTGGGCGGACCTGGCATCGGGCAGACCCACAGCTGTGTGCCCGAGCCTAACCTAGTGCTGTGGTCTTAAAACTCTCTCCTTGAAAAAGTTCTGCCTTCTCTCAGCTTGCTACATCTTCCCTGCTTTTCTGGCTCTCTGCTTTTCTCAGGCTTCTTTACCTGCCTTTTACCCTTTTTTTCTTTTCTGCCTTACCTCTGGACTGCCTTCATTAGCATTTGAAATGACCTCTAGCTGATTTTCTAGTTAGGCTGGGGAAAAGGATTTTCTAGTTAGACTGGGGAGATTTTCTGTCTGGAAATTGATCTGCTTTAGTTTCCCAGAATCTTCACACTATTGGGCTTTCCTCCCATTCCTCCCATAGTGGAGGATGACCCAAGACAAACAAAGGAGGGGTGCCTCTTTGCAGAGACCATCAGGGTGCTCATGCACACACACATTCACACAGAGGTTATCACATTCCTCCCCCTTCCCCCTAGAAATTTCCAAGGGAGCATACCTCCACAGCAGATTTTCCACAGATTACCTCCTTCCTCGTGGATTTCTTCACTGCATCTGTCCCTTCGTGGTCGCCATCTGATGTCGGTGGGCCCCACAGGTGACTTATGTGAAGCGGGGAGGAGAAAGACAGTCACTTTCTCCCCATCCACCTCTGCCACTCAGGACCCAGGGTTGCTGGGTTCTTGTCTTGCCTCGCAGAAAGGAATTTCAGGAGTAGACAAGCAGTGAAGTAAATAGATTTTATTTGGAGGATTTTTAGGTATGGAGGGAGAGAGAGAGAGAGTGAGAGAGTAAAGTTAGACATGAAAGCATGAAAGTACACATCTCAAGAGGGGAGATGCGGGCGACACATGTGCTCGGGAACCACATGTGCTCGGCCACGTGGGCACAAGCAGCACATGGGCTCAGGCAGCATATGCGCGCGCTTCCTTTGTTCAAGGTGGCCTTTATAGGGTTCCTCCAACCTGCCCCCACGTGGGGCTTCCTCCCAGGTAAATGTCCCTTTGCTAAGGAGGTTGCCAGGGAGGATGGGAGTGGTGATGGTCTTCTTTGAAATTCCTTTCCTGGCCTTTTGTTCCTAGAGGAGCTTCTTTGGGTCTGTTGCTGGAGCCAGGTGAGGGTCTTATCAAGCCCTAGTTCCTGTTTTGCTATTTTCTGCAGGGCTGGCTCTTATCATTGCCTCGGGAGGGGGCCCTCCCTGTCTACCTGCCTACATCACAAACACAATGTGGTTTGGGATTTTTTTTTAATTTATTTGTTCATTTTTGTGGAGGGCAGGGAGCCTCCTTCCATGGAGCCAAAACTTTAAATAGGGATGTATTTGACCTGGATGGTTCCTTCAGGGAGAAAATGGTGCCTCCCATTCCCTATTGAATTACACTCTGCTCACAGAATTTGCAGGCTTTGGAGTTTGTGATCACCAATCTGATGCCTGAGTCGCTTGAGGCACTTGCCTCCTTAAAAGTTACCAAAAAGCTCAAGGAGCCAGTAAAAACAAAAAGGTTGTCGTTCATCTTTATCTCCATTAACCACTCAATCTGAAATACCCTCAGGGCTGGAGCAATAGCACAGCGGTAGGGTCTTTGCCTTGCATGCAGCTGACCTGACTGACCCGGGTTCAATTCATCCGTCCCTCTCGGAGAGTATGGCAAGCTACTGAGAGTATCTTGCCAACATGGCAAAGCCTGGCAAGCCACCCATGATGTATTCGATATGCCAAACACAGTAACAACAAGTCTCAAAATGGAGATGCTACTGGGCCCGCTCGAGCAAATCAATGAACCCTCAGGCAGTAACTGCACTGTCCTCCCGTTATTCATTGATTTGCCCGAGAGTGCCCAGTTATGTCTCCACTGTGAGACTTGTTACTGTGTTTGGCATATGGAATACATCACGGATAGCTTGCCAGGCTTTGCCGTGCGGGCGAGATACTCTCCTTGCCGGGCTCTCTGAGAGGGGCGGAGGAACTGAACCCGGCTCAGCCCGGTGGCCATGTGCAAGGCAAACGCCCTATGGCCGAGTGATCTAAGGCGCCAGGCAGTAACAACTTCCCTAAATTCCCAACATTCTTTCTGGGTAGAATACAAGCTTCTCCTTATATTCCTTGATCTCAACCTAGGCATTACTTCTTTGAAGAAACCAAACCTCCTGCCAAGACTACATTCCTCTAATAGACATAGACTCTCAGCACCAAATTCATTTTCTTGGGGGTACCCGTGGCAGATACAATCGTTTATTAATTTGTGAATCATTTGATTAAGGCCCGTCTCGCTTACTTGATGGACAGCTCAACAGTGGCCAGGGATTTAGTTTTTGCTCATCACCAGTTCCGTTAGCTTCAACCCTCCCTCACCTCCACACAGTTCTTGTAAACGGGCTCTCACAACTTCTGGGGCATTGGAATTTGCAATTGAAGTTTTTGACTGTAGCCATTAAACTCGACTGTGCTCACCAAGCAAAGAATCCAACTTGAGCCTTCTGCAAGCAAAGTGCTCAGTCCTTGAATCTCTCTCCGACTCACTTGAAAAAGAAAAGGTTGGGGCGGGAGAAATATTATGGGGCTTGCATGCTGCCAACCCAGGTTTGAGCCCCTTCAGGAGAGATCCCATTCCTGACCACAGAGTCTGTGGACACAAGGTGTGGCCCCAATACCAAAAACTTAAGTCCCTTTGGTTTTTACTTGGCTAGCTAACACCTCCGTTGACTGCAGAACGGGGATTTGCTCTGCCCACTGACTCACATAAATGCCCAGTGCCTAGAACGATGCCTGGGACACCATCAAGAGAGAAGGAGTTGGATGTGGTCCTGGGGCTTCACAAACATCTGGAAAAAGTCAACAGCTGCCGCTTCGGAACCGCCCCCCACCCCCCACGAGGAAGCTCGAGTTGGTCAATGGACCCTGGTGGAGTGGCCTGACGTTCCAACACTTCGTGTGTCACACAGCGATGACACCTCCAGGGACCCTGCAGCAAAACAAAAAGAACAAAATAAACCCTCCCAGGCGTTGGGGAGACGGGTTCGGCCTGACGCCATCCTGGGTGGAGGGAGGCAGAGTGGCACAGATGCTCAAAGACCCAGCGCCGCGCCCCGTGGCCACGGCGGGGGTCGCGGGTCGCGGGTCGCGCCCGAATCGCCGCCCGTCGTGCGCCGGCGACAGCCGCTCTCTGAGGTCCCAGAACCATCCGCCTGGCGAAGGAGTCCCCGCTCCCTGCCCCCGCCGAGAGCACTTGGCGCGGCCGCCCCGCCGCTCCCGGGCCCCGTCGGAGACGCCTCCGGGGTGCCGAGTGGGAGGGACGAAGGCCCCGCCCTCAGCGTCCAGCCCCAGGCGCGACAGTCAGTCCCCGCTGGCCGGGGAAGGCGCCTCCGCGCGCCCGCCGCCTCCCCCCGAGGTCCCGCGGCCCCGAGCCCCTGGCGCCGCGCGCTCTCGCGAGAGTCCGCCGCGCGGCCCCCCCTCCACTCCCCCGGCGCCTCCGGCCGCCCAGGAAGTCTCCCTCGGACCCCGGCGGCGCGCGGTCACCACGGCGCATGCGTGGCCGCGGCTCCCAGCGCCCCCCGCGCAGTCCGCGGGCGGAGCGGAGCGGACGCGGTGGCGCTCGCGGCGGGGGGGGGCTGGCGGGAGCCCCCCCGCCCCCACCCCACCCCCACCCGCGGCTGCTGCAGCTGCTGCTGCCGGTCACCCCTGCAAGGCGGGAGCTTTGCCGCGACGACGCGCCGGGGTTTTCCTCAGGGCAGCGCTTAGCGCCGCCAGCGACCACCCGCGGAGACCGGGCCGCGCCGCCTCGAACCCTGGCCGGGCGGGGCGCGCACATCCGGCCCCACCCCCCAAACCCCGGCCTCGCCTCCTCGCGGCGGCCCCCGCGGCTCCCGACACGCCTCCTCCCGGCCTGGATCTGGGCACCTGCCCGGCCTCTCCTCAGACCCCTCGGTCTCCCCCAGCCTCGTCGTTCCCGACACTGCACCCTGGAAGGCCACTTGGCGAGGACCCCCTTGGGGTGGAGAAGAGGCCGAGCGTTTGAACTGGAGGGTGCACCTTCGCCTTTTCAAGGGCCTTGGCTCCATGTGACTCATCAGCGCTCGGATCGCGACCGTTTTTGTTGTTTGCTTGGAGGTTGTTGGGGTGGGGGGGGAGTTAATTTTTTTTTTTTACCCTCCCGACCTTCCCGCACTTTCCACAAAGCGAAGCCCACGGAGCTCTGAGGAGAGGCGGCTCTGAGGAGGGGTGGCTCTGAGGAGAAGTGACTGTGAGGAGGGGCGATTCTGAGGAGAGGTGGCTCTGAGGAGAAGTGGCTGTGAGGAGGGGCGATTCTGAGGAGAGGTGGCTCTGAGGAGAAGTGGCTGTGAGGAGGGGCGACTCTGAGGAGAGGTGGCTCTGAGAAGTGGCTGTGAGGAGGGGTGGCTGTAAGGAAAGGTGGCTCTGAGGAGGGGCGGCTTCCTTGCGTGGGTTTTTGAGTCTGTCAGACGTGAGGTCTCGGCCCCTTCCATGCAGGAGCATGGCTGCATCTCTGGCCTCACAAATGGACGCGCCCCTAGAGGTGGGTGGTTGCCTGCTGATGAAGGTGGACACGGAGCCCGAGTGGGCATCGGAGCCCATTCTGGAAAGGTCCGAGAGCTGCGAGGCTGAGACCTTCCGTAAATGCTTCAGGCAGTTCAGTTATGAGGACGTGACTGGACCGCACGAAGCGTTTAGTAAACTCTGGGAACTTTGCTGCCGCTGGCTGAAGCCAGAAACGCGTTCCAAGGAGCAGATCCTCGAGCTGCTGGTGATCGAACAGTTTCTCACCATTTTGCCCAAGAAGATCCAGGCATGGGCGCAGAAGCAGTGTCCGGAAAGTGGAGAGGAGGCGGTGGCCCTTGTAATCTGTCTGGAGAAGGAGACTGGAAGACTGAGACAGCAGGTGAGAGGGAATTTTTCAGATTTTGCTGTTTAGAAGAGGAAGAAAGGGAAAGGCAGATGGGCAGGGATACCCTGCAGAGGGATAAATGACAAGAATGCAAAAATCTTGTGAGTCTATGTAAAAGGGATCAAAAACTCAAAGTAAATAAGAGGGCTTGAGGGAGCTTTTGTGAAAGTATCTTAAGATGAAATTATTATGCATTTCAGTATTATTTTAAATTGCTGGCATAGTACATGTTTGTGTGTGTATATATATAGATGTATATAAAAATAGTTATATGAAAGAACAATGCCTTAAGCTTCTCAGATTTTGACATTTGCAGCTTGATCCCAAAGAGATCTGCATCTCCTTCCCCCAACAAATGACTTCATCAGTTATCCCAAGACCTCTCTGACCTAATATACCATTTTATGTGCTGAAGTACCCTCAGTGTCCTCATGCTTATCAGTCTTCTTCAGCTTACCTGAGAGATTTTTCATTTATCGGTGGCTTTGCATGCTGCTCTAGTTGTTTCTCAACACCCTTTCATAACGTCATGAAATCTTGAAAGATTTTCAAGAACCTTGAATGTGATTTGATTGCATAAATACCTATTAACAGGCTGTTTTTGTCTTCTGATATTTCTTTGTAATTCCTTATGAACCTAATGGCTTTGGTGACTCAGTACCTTTTCTAATAACAAGGAGGCTCTGCATTTCACACCTGACAGATTTCTGTTCTCTGTATGTTAATAAAGATGAATCTACTGTTCCCTTGTGCCCAGATTTCTGGACAGTAATATTAATCTTACGCCCTTAGAGAATCATCAGGAAGGGAGTAGAATTATCATTCCTTCTCACAACAAATTTCCTTCTTAGATCTCTTTCTCAGGGGAGTTTGTTGCTGATCTGGCCTCCTTTCGTCTTCAATCCATGATGGAATTTACTTTTATCTCAGGTTAACAGTCCTGTGCACTCAGAGAAACAAGCCCCAATTGGAACAACATGGGAAGTGGTAGAACTTCTTCCAGAGCAAGTAGAAACCCAATCCAGAGTGATGTCTCAAGAGGAAGCTGGAAGCCTCCACTTAGAGCACCAGGAGCAACTGAACCGAAAGAGAGAACATCAGCCCATACCCAAGAGTGGTAAGAAGACACAGCCAGTGCAGAGATAGTCACTTTTATTTTGTAGCCCTGATACAATGATTTGCTTGTTTAGGGTTCTCTTAATACATATTTGAGAATATGGGGAGACTTCATAAGCCTCTAGTGTATTATCAGACTTAAGGAGATCAAGGAAAAATCACTGATACAATTAAAACACTTGAGTTTCAGACCAGGAAGATGGCTTAAAGGACTGGAGTCATGGTTTGCATGCGGTAATCCTGAATTTGATACAGGCACAGCACGGTCCCCCAGAACTGCAGGGAGCTACCCTGGTGCAACAAGCCTGAAGTAACATGTGTCTACCACACTATCTGCTCATGGACAAATAATGTGAAAAAGAACATCATTGGATAGAGGTTAAGAGATAAGGCTTTAGAGATAGCAACCTGGATCCCAAATCTAACTCTTCCATTCTTAATCTGTCATGAATTCATAAGTTCATTATATCTTAAGTTACTTATCAAACTTTTCATCAGTAAAAGGAAAATAATGATTTTCAGTGTAGATTAAAGGAGGGAATTTTCAGATTAAATGAAGGACCGAAGTGTAGGGGTTTTTTTTCTCTCATAATGTCACAATTATTTTTAAGTTTCAGATCTATCTGACTTACAAGCAGAATTCACTAGTATATCCCCCTCTTCTTTAATCCTTCTGAAATTTATGTCTATGGTACTGCATATGCTGTCTGAATATTTCTCCACTTTGTGTTTATTAGCATCAAAATCCCTTTGCTCTCAAGGATTAGCTGTTTTCAGTTACTTAAGGTGTTAAACTTAGTCCAATAACTTCATGATATTTTTGAGTTTTGCCATTCTGGGTTGGGAAGGAATTCCAGCAGTGGAAAAGTTTGTTATGTCTAGGTACTTATTAGGGGTATAGAGAACAGAATATCCCAGGGAAGATGAGTTGAATCTAAACTGTGTTTCCCAAAGTGAGCAATATTCATTGCCCCTCTTGGATGCTGAAATGTCCCTGGGGCAAGTAGTAGCTTTGGGTACCATTGGAGGTCACTTTCTGTTTGTTTGCTTAAGCAATGGAAATTTCCAGGGAGGCACTGTGATTTTTCTGAAAGGGGGTTAGTAAGTCACTAAAGTTTGGGAATCAAGTTTTCACTAGTAATAGTGTATGATACCTCAGAGTATGCTATATGCAAATATATATAATTTACTTCTACCTTTTGTATCTGCCTGAAGTGCTCATAATAACCTGTCTATGCCACTTTCTTTAAAATAATGTTCACTTCTAAGAACTAATGATTGTCAGATGGTACTTCACATACCAGATCAAACTTTTTTTGCCTATAAAGAGTGTTTACTTTGGGTTCTTAAAAATACTTTGTTCTCAAGATTGAAAACTTTTGAATAAAAGTTTTACATAAAACTTTGTTTTACATAAAAGTCCAGGTTTATGGCTTACCTTGAAAATATCAGAAGCTCTGACGATATCAGGGCCATAGTCTCACAATGAAGCAATATCTGAAGTATTTGCTGTCCACTCTCAACTGCACATCTGTTCTCCCATTCCCCATTATCCTCATCTGGCCCCTTTTATAATATATTTACTTTATTTACATATTCCCCCAAAGCACTTGCATTTGGAATACAATGGTTTTAAGAATTATTTTAATACTTTGATAAAATGATTATAAAATGCGCAAGAGAGGGGTCGGCAGGGTGATACTATTTCACCGAAACTCTTCAGTGCCACCCTTGAGAACGTCATGTGACGACTGGAATGAAAAGGAATGGGAGTGAAGATAGATTGGTCGGCAATTACACCACCTCTGCTTTGCTGATGACATTGTTCTAACACCAAACATCACCCTAGTGGCACAAATGCTGAACGACTTCAACAGTGAGTGTGGAAAGGTCGAATTACAGCTGAATCTCACAAAGACAGTGTTCATGAGAAACAGTCTTGTTCCTGACGTTCCATTCGCTCACAACGGAACCACCATCTCCAAATGCAACAGTTATGTGTACCTAGGTCGAGAAGTCAACATGACAAATGACCTGGCACCTGAGTTGGGTAGGAGGAAGAGAGCGGCTTGGAACGCCTTCAAGAGCATTGAAGAAATAACTAAGAGGGCGAAGAACCTCCAGCTCTGAGCACATCTCTTTTATTCCACTTTTCTTCCTGCATTAACATATGCCTCAGAGACCTGGGCCCTACGAAAACAGGATGAGAACGCTATTCGGGTCTCTCAAAGAGGAATCGAAAGAGTTATGCTTGGAGTATCACGCTTCACTCAAATGAGAGAAAGAATTCAGAGTTCCGACCTCCGTCAACGCTCAAGAACCAGGGACGCTGTCTCATTTGCCAAGGCATTGAAAATCAGATGAGCTAAACACGTATTGAGATTTAGAGATGACCGCTGGACTAGAGCCATTACCGACTGGATTCCACGGGTCATCAAAAGATTGTGTGGCTACCCACCTACGAGATGGTCAGACTTCTTCGTCGAGACCCTGAATGATTGGTTTGAGGCTCTTCGTGTTCCTAGAACAAGCAGATGCCATTGGGCTATGATAGCACGCAACAGGGATGAATGGAGACATTACTGGCGCCCGTTTGAGCAAATCAATGAGTAACGGGATATCAAGTGATCAAGTGATAAAATGATTAATTGATGTTTGTTGGTGTGGGTTTTTTTTTTTACATGCTCATTTATACTTTTTATTTTGGACAAGGTCCTCTGAAGTGGTACTCAGGTGCCACCAAGTGACCCACCTAGTGGTGATTTGGGACCATGTGGTATCAGGTTTCAAATTTTGTGGCCTCACACATGCAAGGCAGGCACTCTATCCCTTTGAATTTTCTTTCCGTTCCCTAGATACTCATGTATTAAAAAGGGTAAAAGCACCATGAGTTAGAAGACTCAGACCTATATATGTCTCTCTCTTCTTACAGGTCAGCCTTCTTCCTGGCTTCCTGCTCCGGCTGATGAGTGGAATGTCATAGATCAAGAAGTAAAGACCACATGTCTTCCTCTTGGGCCTCAGGTTAGTTGTAATTGTTCCTTGACCCTTCTTCCTATGTTCGGGTCACAGTGATTTCCTGTGTCTCCACTGTTCTTTTAACTATCATATTCCTCCCAGAGACTTCCCCTCTTTTTTCCAGAGAAAACTGGATGCAGTCTTCTGAGAAATAAGACACTGATGGATCTTCTCTCTCAAAACTCTTTACAGTTTACTCTGCCTTGTTAGGCTTGTAACATACACTCAAGTCCTTGATTTTTAAATCTTTAGGACCTGTTTATTTATACTTCATGGATGATCATTCATCCTTCACAATGGTTGTCCTGGTAGTCATTGCCATTAGTGTTGTTACAGGGACCAGTGAAAGATGTTCATACAGCAAGAACTTTTTCCTGCAAGAAGAATATGAATCAACTTCCTGGTCATAGAGACCTTTGCCGTGAGATTAGGAAGGAGAATGTTGGGAACATAGTCTCCCTAGGTAAGGATTCTTTTCCTTTTCATATAAAAATTTGTGGATTTTTAGTATATTTATTTCTACTGATGTTTAAAAAAATGAATAAGTGTTAACATTTAAAGGACCTTACTGGAATTTATTTAGCCCATAAAGATCAATCATTTATTTAATAATTTCTTGATGTAGCACACCAGACCTAGTAATCATACTCATTTTCTCATACCTCATTTATTCCTTTCAATTTAAAGGATATAAATTTGTTTAATGATTTCAAATATTCAAAGTGTAATTTATGTGTCATATCTGTATTGTTTAATATAAATAATCCACTAGACTAAAGGCTTTGTAAAGTAACAAGGCCTTTTGTAGATTTTTTTTGTTGGTGGTAAATAGTCTGACATAAGATAGTTTCCCAGATAGTATTTGTGGGTGAATGAAATTTTTTTAATGGAAGAAAAAGTAATTTCATCATAGTAATCAATATCACATTGCAAGTTATTTAAATAACACAGATTTTCAAGCAAGTGTAAATATGGAAATACCATTTCACAACATACATTTGAAGGATTATATCATCTGCTTTAGCAGTAGGGGAAAATGATTGATTCGTGTGTGAGGTACAAGTCAGAGACTATGTTTGAAAGAAGGGTTTTAGGCATTGTATACTAGAGCACAATATACTTACTTAGCCTTGCTAAGCACACATGACTATGTAAATTTAAATTTATAACATTGATGTCAAAAATTTAATTCCTCACTCCAGGTTGTCACATAAAAGTTGTTCAGTAGCTGCATTAGAGAGCCCAGTTATAGAACATTTTAATCATCACATAAAGTTCTATTTGAAAACACTATAAGGACATTAACTACAGTGATTTTTTAAATGGGCCATGTCAAAATGAATAAACCAATAGTTATTTAAAAAGAAGTTAAAAAAAGTTGAAAGTAATAACCAACTTAACATTACACTGATGAAAGATCAGTAACAGAACAGTCTTCCCAAAATAACAAGTATTCCAGCCATTTGCTTAGTTTGGTATACAACATGGATGTCACATAGTGTTGCCTTGAGTCATATAGTATTCAGTAATTGTTGAATTAGTCTTCAGTAAATCTTCCATCAGCAGGTTATGGACTATAAGAATTGAGCTTTAGCATAGTCCCTTTGCATAAAATTATGCATGTAAATACCTAAGCCCAGAGAAACCTGCTCCAGTCTTTTATCATCAGTTACAAGCTAGTGGTTCCTTGGCTGAATCTCATCTGCACTCGTATTTTGCCCTTGAGTGGGTATTTTATTTAACATTTGTTTGTAAATCTGGATTTTCTGTATCTCTTGAAAAATTAAATAGCAGACATTAGAAGCTTACCTTCTTATATAACAACCATTAGCCACAACTAAATGAAAGTCATTGCTGAATTGCCACACCACCTTACCTTCCTCATCCTTATGGATATTTGTACTTTCATTGTTCTGTACTTTCCTCAATAAGCAGTAAGAGCAAATCTTTATCCCCTGGTCTTTTAGAAATTACTTAGTTTGATGTTTCTTCTCTTTGAGAACTGCATAAAACTTTGTATATTTAGAGGAAAGTAACTTTTACCAAATATATATTGGACATTGGATTCTTAATAGCTAATAAGTTATTTAATATTCCCAGGATCTCTTTTAATAGATAGTAGTATTCCCACAGAAAACCAAGACTTAGATTAAGAAACCTTCTCTGGTCAAATTTTTAAGTAAGTGGAGCTAGAATTCAAACTTGAGATGTTCATATCTAAACTATTGTAAGTTAACACACTTGGTTTGCTTCTCTGTTTCTACATAGAAGTATCAAAAATGTTTAGATACTTTACCTATTCTAACCCCGTATCTATAAATGTGGAAGGTGGTATGTATTGTGGGGAACAGATAAACACACTTTAATAAATATAAAGTGCTGATTAGGAATATACTGTGAAACTAAAAGTTAGGTACTCGAAAGAATCAAAGGCACCAAATATATGTTTCTTACCCTTAAAGGTTTTATTTTAATAACTAGCTCAGGAAATTTGTAGTACATACATGAGAAGAAAATCACATGGTAAGACGATTTTTAAAATAGCTATCTGGGTAATTTATGATTAAGAAAGATATTTTAGAGTGAGTACAGTGGGATATTGTCATGAATTATAAAGATTCTAGAATTCAAAATTGTGACTTTGGAGACTAGATATAAACAAGTACTTCTGGAGAGCATGTTATGACGTCCTTGGAGCACACAATAATGACCTCTGTGTCTGGCATGAAATACTTCTCTTACTGTAGGAAGTACAGTGTCTTCATCTAACAAGATAGCCCGATTGGAGCAAAGAAAGGAACCGTGGACCAGAGATCTACATTCTTCTAATAAAAGAAATACCCTTAGAAGTAGTTACATCAATGAAAAGTCAGTTCATCCTATTCAGATCCCTGCAAGGAACGCTGGGAAAACATGGCGAGAGCCTCAACAGTGGGGTTTAGAAGATGAAAAAATAGCAGGAGTGCATTGGAGCTATGAGGAGACTAAGACTTTTCTTGCAATTCTCAAAGAGTCTCGCTTTTATGAAACACTTCAAGCTTGTCCCCGAAATAGTCAGGTCTATGGTGCTGTAGCTGAATGGTTACGTGAATGTGGCTTTCTTAGAACACCAGAACAATGTCGGACCAAGTTCAAAAGTCTCCAGAAGAGTTATCGGAAAGTGAGAAATGGCCATTTGCTGGAACCTTGTGCCTTCTTTGAGGACATGGATGCTTTGTTGAACCCTGCAGCTCATGCTTCATCCTCTGATAAGTCAAAGGAGATTTTATCTCTTCCTCGATTGAAGAGAATTGGTATCAGTGCTAAAGAACAGATCAGTTTGGTGGAAGAGGATGAAGCTGCAGAAGAATCTGATAGTGATGAGATAGGCCTTGAATTTATCAGGAAGTCTGAGACTCGTGGTGCTCCTGTCTTATTTCAGAACCTGAGTGGTAAGAATTATGTCCTTTTTATTCCCCTTTTTTTGGTACAAAAATAGATGATGCAACTTTTGGAAAAATGGAGTAGACCTGAGATAATCTAAACTAGGCCTTCTATCACACATGTGTTGCACTATCACTGTGTTTAGCCACAGTAACTAAAAGTACTCTAAGGTGTTTGTTACTTGATTAGCAGCACTGAAGGTTTTTATACAAAGTAGAGTATAGCATGAATTTTGAGTACTTGGGTCATGTGTGGAGAAAAAAAATAAATGTAGTTAAGGGGCTCTAAGAATCAAGTATTATCTGACAATAATAATAAAGCAGTTATTCATATTTGACTGTAAAAAGTCAAGGATGCATTATTATATTGTCTAAAATAGGCAGAAAAATGTTGTGTAACTTTTAAAAAGTAGAAAACATTAAACTATTTTTTTGAGTTGGGGGTGGTCAGGCTCTGACTCCGGGCTCTGTGCTCAGGGGTCACTTCTGGCAGTGCTCAGGGGACTATATATGGTGCTAGGATAGAACCAGGGTTGAATACATGCAAGGCATGCAAGACTAACACCTTAACCCCTGTATACTATCTGTCCTAACACAAAAATTAAATTTCATAAATATAAGAAAAATGGTTCATAAAATACACAACTATAATGGGTAAAGAAAACAGTACTATATGTTGGAGAAATAGTGCAGGGGTTAAGGCACTTGCCTTGCATGTAGCCAATCCCAGTTTAATACCAGGCACCACATATAATCCCCTGAGCACCACCAGGTGTGCTCCTCCCGCTCCCCCTCCTCAAAAAAACACCCACTGTAGATATAAATCCAACTATATCACTAATTACAATTTTCTAAGCCTAAGATCGTTTGGGGTGGGGCTGGGGGGTGGCTCTCAAGTGGTGCTTAGAGGGTCTAGGGGCCACTTCCAGTGATACAGTGATATTTGCCAACTGACTGACAGTTCGGTGCTATAGGATATGAAGAAGTGGGGCTGTCCTGGTCCCACAGTGTTTGGAGACTAGCAGGTGCTCCCTAGCAGTGTGTGTAGGGGGGGAGGGCTCCAAGATCATATGTGGTAGCTCTTGGAACTTTCAGGGATATATCAGATGCTTAGGACCACTAGGTGCTTATGTGGCCATGTGGTGCCAGGGATTGAACTGGGATCAGCTTCATGCAAGATGTATGCTCTTCCCCCTCTACTGTAACCTCAGGGCCCAGGTGTTTTTTAACATATTAAAAAAGATATATATTAAAATGCAAGAACCAGAAATACTGAACATAAAGGATAAGGATGAAAAAGTGCATAACCATATGGAAGAAAGCTATTTTTAAAATTTGGAGACTGGTATCTGTGGACTAAACTGCCAGTTAATTCTCTAACTATGGACAGACCAAGTACTGATTCTAAGCTTCAGTTATCTCTTTGTTTTCTTGTTTTGTTTTGTTTTGTGTTTTGTTTTCTGGGTCACACCTGGCGATGCACAGGGGTTACTCCTGGCTCTGCACTCAGGAATTACCCCTGCCGGTGCTCAGGGGACCTCATGGGGTACTAGGAATCGAACCTGGGTTGACCACATGCAAGGCAAACACCTACCCGCTCCAGCCCCTCAGTTATCTCTTTAAAATGTGAATGAGAATGCCAGTATTAATATTAATGTTCACTGGGTTGTTATGGTTAGATGAAGGCATTTTGTATGCTAAACTAATAAAACATTGCCTGGTATCATCATTATTAGTAATGTTTCTCTGCTCAGTCTAAAGAAAATGTATTCTTAGAATGGAAAAATCAGGCTAGGAAAGCTGGGAATATATTCATAATCTGTTATAAGAGACATCTTAGGAAAAATATGGGACGATGTATTATACATACATAAATACAATTTGGAAATTCATATTCATGAAGGTGTAGCTCCTGGATCTTGGCTTGAATATGGGAAAATCAATGATAGACCTGGAAGAGATCATCCAATCAGATAGAATTGAAACCACCTTTTCCTACTACAGATTAATAAATACACTAAAAACATAATTAAACTTTATTTAACTTGTCTTGGAAAATTTTATTCTTCTGAAAAAAGCAGAACATTTTCAACTCTAATATAGAGGACTCAGTGACATCAAAAACTATTGTGGGGGGTGAGAGATAGTATAAGGGTTAAGGTGCTTCTTTTTATACGTGACCAACTCAGATCCTGACATTGCATGGTCCTCCAAGCTCTTCAAGGAGTGATCCCCAAATATCTTCAAGTACCACCAGTTGTGGCCCAAAATTTCCTTCCCCCCTATCCCCCAATAAAAAACCTACTCTGAACATAGTTCTACCCTGCCAGGAATACTGGTAAAAAGTTTTAAGAAATTTTCTGGGTAGTTCCTGCCGTGTCCTAGTTCATTTTAACTACTTTGACTATTTGAAAATAAAACAAAGTCTTTGATCAACATAACTAGCAATAGAATATTTGCATGTTTGCCAAGTAAACTCAGATTAGCTTTAGCAGTTTCCATTTAAAGTCCCTGTTGGAATTTTGGTTTTATGGCTGATATGATAAATAGCACAGCGGGTAGGGCGTCTGCCTTGCACGCAGCCAACATGGCCGACCCGAGTTCAATTCCTCCGCCCCTCTCGGAGAGCCCGGCAAGCTACCGAGAGTATTCGATATGCCAGACACAGTAACAACAAAGTCTCCAATGGAGACATTACTGGGCCCGCTCGAGCAAATCGATGATCAACGGGAGGGCCTTTACTTTTACTTTACTATGATAATTATTATCTGTACAGTTTAAAGTCTTCCTATTAAGAAACATAGTCTCTTCCTCTTCTCTGGTTTCATTTATGTCTTTGAATAAAGTATTACTGATTTTTTATATAGACCTCATTGTTTTGAAAGGCATATTCCCTGGCATATTTTTAATTCCTATTGTTATTATTAACAATACTTATTTTCCTGATCTTGCATATTTTGCAATAAATAGAGGCTATATATACCTTTTCTTTTGTGTTTGAACTTTATCCTTGAATGGCAGGTGTGCACTGGGGCTATGAGGAAACCAAGACTTTTCTTGATATCCTGCGTGAGACTCATTTTTATGAAGCACTCCAAGCCTGTCACCGGAAGAGCAAATTGTATGGGGCTGTGGCTGAGCAACTGCGAGAGTGTGGCTACCTCCGGACACCAGAACAGTGTCGTACAAAGTTCAAGAGCCTTCAGAAAAGTTACCGCAAAGTGAAAAATGGCCATGTACTAGAATCTTGTGCATTCTATAAGGAGATGGATGCCCTGATTAACTCTCGGACCTCTATCCCTTCTACCAACATACCGGAGGAAGTCCCATCACCCTCAAGTCAAGAAAGAGACGAAATTGAGATTGAGTCCCAGGAACCTTCAGTCTGGGAAGCTGAAGAAACTTCAGAGGAGGCCATAATAGAAGATTCTGGCAGTGAGAGAATGAGTGAGGAAGAAATTCTGCAAGAATCAGAATTGCAGGGTTCTGCAGGTCTGCTGCAAAGTCCAAGTGGTAAGTATCATCAAAGGGTTGTAATTTTAAAAACAGAAGACAGTGCAGTTTGCTAAAATCAATGTGTTTGGCAAATCACTCGATATTTATTAGGTATTTATGTCATTAATAATGTTTTGTGCTGTTTAAGTAATAGGACATAACAATAAATAAAGTCCCTTTTCTCAGTTGTTTCTTTTCAAGGGAGGAGCATACATTCAAATGATTTGATCTTTGTGATTTCATCATTTTTTTAATGTATAGATTAGTCAATATTTGGTATCCTAAAACTGCTATAGAATAGAAAACTTAGAATTGAACATGAGAAAAATCTTGAATGAAGGGGGATATACTAACAAGCTCAAAACAAATATTTCATTTATGTGTGACATGCATGAGAATGTGGATAGGGAAGATAAAAGGAAGATGAAAGACATTTCTGGTTCTAAACTCCACTGCATGTATTCCTCCCGGGCATCTTTACAGCCATCCAGACTTAAATTTTTCAAAACTAGTTTCAGTTTCTTCTCACACCATGGCTCTTCTCTTTATCTTGTCATGAATCAGTCATGCTTAAAACATTAGGTATTCTAGATTCTTCTTGTCATTTATATCCCCACAAAGGACAAGTTTTTTTCAGCTGCTGTAAATCATCTGTCCCCTCTTTAATACCATAGCCACTACCCTCATTTAATCTATATCTCTGGCCTAGGCCATTATAAAACTCTCCAAACCACTCTCTTCTACCAGGCTTTTATTAAGGTTCCACAATTAATCTTCCTCTGATTTTGTCATTATATCCTAACCTGTTAGCATTTTTATTCATATGCTTTGTTTATTCAATACATAAGTCTGCAATAATTATGTAGGAAATTGGCTATGAAAACTGAAATTATTAAGATTTTTTAACCCTGATTTTGATAACTGTGAAAACAAAGTTCTTCAGGTCCATCTCTTGTGAATCTCAATTTTTAAGTAATATTTTTAAGTAATTCTTTATTTTAAGTAATTTAATTTATTTTAAGTAATATTTCAGACCTTATCAAGTTATGGCTTAGTGTAAGCCAAGTATACTGCTCTCATTTTCACTAATAGAAGAATAATGTTGGGCCCAATCAGAAAGTTAATGGATTAATTGCTGGCTGCACTCCTGTCCACAGAAGTTAATGGATTAATTGATGGCTACTCTCCTCTCTACGGACAATACCACCCCAATCCAACTTGGGACTGAGGAATATCTGGCATTTTCTTCCATGTTAATTAAGATACTGATGAAAATAATTTTAATTACAATTCAATTTAGAAAACATTTTGAAGGCCTACTCAGTACGTGGTGTTATTAGCTGTTCATAGAACTGAAATAAAAGAAGGTACAATGAATCAGGAAAGAGTCATTGTACCTTAGGCCATAGACATATATTGGGATCGTAACATGAGGTCTTATAGGCCATGGTGTTTGTAGGTGAACTGTGTTGAATGGAGTGAAATATTTATTGTCCTTTTTTATTTTCAGATTCTGAAATTGAAAGTAGTATCAAGCAAGATGCAACACAGGTAATATATAAGGAAATGGAGTCACATAGGACATTCATAGAAAAGTCTAAAAGGGTTGTTTTCCAGAGTACTGATCCAGGTAAATATCATAAAAGGGAATGCATCTCAGGAAGACAATGGGAAAACCTCCAAGGAATGAGACAGGGAAAATTTTTGCCTCAGCCTAGAGACTTAGGGAAAGCTATAGTGCATCAGAGGCCTTTCATGGGGAAGAGACCCTACAGACTTCTCAAATATGGAGATAACTATGTAAGGAGTGCTCGTCTTATGTGCCGGATTACCCATCAAAAGGAAAATCCTTACAAGTGTAGTGTCTGTGGGAAGTGTTTTGGTAGAAGCAGGAGCTTAATTAGACACCAAAGAATCCACACAGGAGAAAAACCTTTTAAATGTCTAGACTGTGGTAAAAGCTTCAATGACTCTTCAAACTTTGGTGCTCACCAGAGAATACACACAGGAGAGAAACCCTACAGATGTGGAGAGTGTGGAAAATGCTTTAGTCAGAGCTCAAGTCTTATTATACATCAGAGAACCCACACTGGAGAGAAACCTTATCAGTGTGGAGAATGTGGGAAAAGCTTTACCAATAGTTCTCATTTCAGTGCCCACCGGAGAGTCCACACTGGTGAGAATCTCTACAAATGTGTTGATTGTGAAAAAAGTTTCAGTAACCTCACACGATTTCGAGAACATCGGAGAATGCATACTGGAGAGAAACCTTATGGATGTGGCCAATGTGGCAAACGTTTCAGTAAGAGTTCTGTTCTTGCCAAGCATCGGGAAGTTCATATGAGAGAAAGGCTTCTGCCTCACCCTCTGCCTGTGTATTCCCCAGAAAACCTGCATAAGGGTAAAACTGATGAATTTAGGAAACCTTTTTGATATGTTTGTTTCTCTTCCCAAGCATTCCTGTAGCCATTTCACCCTAATCTCACTCTTGGAAGCAATCTTTTCTTTGCTATAAAGCGTAATACCCAAGATAAACTTGAGAATTTAATTCCACTAAAGACTTGGATCCTATTCTCACCTCTGCCTCGAACGATCAGTCTTCCTGTCCTGTGTGTATCAACTTCTCCTTAAGAGAGTGAAGAAGCGATAGTGTCTGTGTTCAGCATACACCTCTCATCAGTATATTGAGGCCAGTGCTATTGGATTGCTAAGTCCAGAAATATTCAAGATCGTTCAGTGTAGTTCAGAGTTCTTTTCAAGTATATTTTTTTAAAAAAAACTGATCTTTTTTTCTTTTTCATTGTCTTTACCTAAGCTCCTGAATGCACCTTTATTTGGAGTTTCATGTGTGGGTAGAACTTTCAGGAGTCTGATCAGAATTACATCAAGTGTAAGATACTTTAGCTTCAGAAGTCTATTGTGGTGTACTTTTTTGTGACAAGAAGTTGATCCAAATTGCTAGGGTAGAATTCTGCATTGTCACTGGAATCAGATTACTAATGCCTTGCCCTCCATACGGATAAGAAGCAGGTGATTACTTATTGTCTTTGGTAATAACCTTTTCTATTCCTGTAGAGAAACACCATTGGCTGCTACTTCTCCAATCTATAAGTAGTCTATTTCCTTTTACTGTTTTTCCTAAGTCCTGCACTTACCACCTCATTGTTCTGGATGCTCTTGTCTGACTCTTTTGGGTTACCATGCTCCCACAGATTGAATAGGATGCATGCTCTTGGTTATCTCATTAAAGTAGAATTTCAGATACATTTAGTTATCCCCAATACTCTAAGATTCTTATGTATACCAAAACTGGTATTTTGCTGTATTTTATGCTTTCGGACCTCACAACTCAGTATAATATATAGCTTTCTAAAACGTAGAGCATTTGGGAAGAAGTGAGGTAAGAGACCTGAAACCTTTATTATTTGAAAGACTAGTTGGACTCTTGATGTCTATTTAGACCACACAGCCATCTGAGTCTGTGCATACTCCAGGGCTCTGTTCTCTTCGGATACTTCCAATTCTTGACATAGGATTGGAGACCTGAATAAGTTATATAACTCTACAGTCCATGAGTGAATCTGAAAATAGTCACAGAAACATCATATCTAGATCGCCAATTTTCCCTCATTTTTCCATTCATGTTTTCCTCATTCCTGTGTATCTGAAAAATCTCTTTGTTAACCTTGTCAGTGCTTCACTTTGAGACCAGTGGCACATATAACCTAAGTACTTAGGGTTGCCTTTGCTTTGGAGAGAAAGAAGTCCAAAGTCAGGGCTGGTATAAATTATTCTTTCTATCCTTTTTCTCTTTTGCCTATTGCTCTCTTACTTTAAGACATCTGGAGTTAATATTTTTCCAGTGAGTTTGTTTAACTGTTTTGAAACTTGTTCAGCAGAATATCAAGGAGAATAGGCATCATGGAAAGAAATCCAACTTACGGTGCCAGAATAGGGTATGGCCTGTCAGAAGGCAAGTGACTCAGGTAAATACTGGTAAATATCTCTGATTTATAGTTGTTGGAAATGTGATTGTTCACATCTTGATCGGCTGCTTTTCTGTGTGTCTTAATTATAGGCTTCTAATGGTAAGTGTAGTTTCATGTTGGTAGCGTGCCTATCACAGTAAGCTGTGTGTGGTGTAGTGAGTGTGCGCTTATATTTTGTAAATGTCTGGAATTCCAACTTTAGAGAAGATGCATAACAGTAGAAATCACCAGTTAGTAATATGTATACAGGATTGACAATTGTATTGAAGCATGATTCAGGAAACTAGATGGTTAATTCATAAATATTTATTAAAAACTATTGTGTATAAGGCTATGTTCTAGGCACAGGGAGGTGTATGATGTAAAAAAAGGGGGGTCATGGTGACTGTACTAAAAGAACTTGAAATATATGATGACGTATTACAACATAAAGTAATGCAATTACATTCATGTCAGTTATCCAGAGGTCAGTATCTCAGTCATGAGAAAATCACCTTATAAAAGTTTTTTCTAATTTATCTAGAATCATATCTTGGGTTTATCTCTCAAATTTCTTTTGAGGATCAAGATCCATTTCATCTCCAGTGAAACAAACTATTTGAGTCTTTTTCTTGATGTCTGGGATCAAGCAAAGGTAGAAATTGGTTTTCTCTACTAACCTTTGAGATTGTAAATAGACTTTCAAGGCATATGTAAAATTAACTTCATGAACTTTATCTCTGTTCTGAAGAAAAGGAAAATTCTGTCTACCATTTTAGACCAAGACTACTATCAGTTTACTATTTTGTCAGCTGATTTATGAAAGTCAAGATAAATAATATATCTTTTATATAATGCAATACTGCCTTTTATGAAAATCCATACAAAAAGATTTTTTTTCTTTTTGGGTCACACCCAGCAATGCTCAGGGGTTACTCCTGGCTTTGCACTCAGGAATCACTCCTGGCGGTGCTCGGGGAACCATATGGGATGCTGGGAATTGAACCCGGGTCTGCCGCGTGCAAGGCAAACACCCTACCCGCTGTGCTATTGCTCCAGCCCCAAGAAAAGATTTTTATCTAGGTCTTAATACCAAGGAAAGTTCTGATTCTAGGCGGCGGAGAAATTATCTTACACTGTGATTTCGTAACTTATTGCTATTCTTTCTTTGTTTTGACTGCTTAGAAAACTAAATAAAACTTACAACCCACCTCAGCCAACTACCTAAAATCTTTATTTATAAAATACTCTTATTTCTTTGAAAATTATGCCAAAACCTATTTTTAAGTGGCATAAATAAAGAGACATTTTAGTCTCTGATATCTTAGCGAGGCACTTTAGAAACTGATCTGTCTTCCCTGCCTGGGCTTGCTGTGTTACTTTCATAAATACCTCCACTTCTTACCAGTGATCGTATTTTGCGTACAACCTAATTCATTCATCTGGTGTAAAACTATTAGATGTTTTTGTTTTGTTTTGTTTTGTTTTAATGCTCAGGAGACCAGTGTTGGCAGTGCAGGGGTCCAAGGATACTACAGTGCTGCTTGGGTCTGGTGGTGCTAAGGATTACCTAGGCCACCCCAGTGGCTCTTGGGGGCCTCCAGGACTGCTCCCAACAATGTTCATGTGGTGCTAGAGGTTGAACTAGGGTCTGATATATGCAGGGTATGTGACTTAACCCTTGTACTATCTCTCCGGCTCCCAAAACTTAGCTTTTATAAAAGAGAAATACTTCACACACAGTAATAGCAGTCAGCTACAATGGAATGAGCATTAGACTAGAAACCAGTGGAGACAAATTTCAGTCTTCACTACCACTTTGTGTTATTTGATAACTCAAAGCCTCTCTGTGTTCTAGTTCTCTATTTAAAGGGAAGTTGAAGTTGGTTATCGAGTCTGCTCTGGCATCAAGGAGGTAGTACAAGAGTTGGGCACATGCAAAGCAGTTTGATCCCTGGCTCCACATAGCCCACTGCCCCCAAGCATCATAAGTGTAACCCTGGAGCACCCTGAAGACTATTGGGCATGGTCCTGGTAGCCCCTAAGAGTTTTCAAGGTGGCTCTGGTGGTCTCTGGTACCACAATACCCAAGCAGTGCTGCATTCTTTGACCTTTACATTGAACTGCCAACCTGGATGGCCAAGAATTGCCAGGAATGTCCCAAAGACCCTCTAAGGACTACTTGGGAGGCATGCCCTCTGAAAATAAAATAGACTGCTGAAGTTCCAGTGTTTTATAAGGCTATAGAGCGTATTCTAGATGAGGAGAGTATCATAAGACTAGGCTCCTCCGCCTAGTTTATCACTAATTGCAGAACATGCATGCATCATCTGAATAGGCCATACTGAATTCATCTTATACTTTGGGAAGAAGGATGCTTCAGTCTTCCACGAGCTGGCTCAATGAGTAGAGAAAGGACGGATGACTCGTGTTTAGCAGTAGACTGACCCCAAAGTACTTGGTAGCTAATGGCAGGTAGTTGCAGTGGTAATAGCCTATTTTGTGGACTCTGGTACCCAATGACAAATAAGACTGGAAAGAGGGAGCAATGAAAGCCTCAAAGGCAAAGGGTATCAGACTTGTGTAGTTATAAAGCCCTGTGAATGCATTCATGTATAAATGTATGTCTATTCCTTGTTTTGTGTTAATGTTCACTTAGATGTCTTGAACACTTTTATATGAAATAAATGTCTATAATGAATGACTCCTGTTGCTTTTCTATCATAATTTGAGAGAAGTCTTCAACTAAAGGAAAATAGGACTAATGAAGGTAATAAAAACTGATCCTAGTAGCTAAACAGAATTTGTCTCATTCCAGCTCACTGCTCTCTTAATAGTTAGTGGAGGGATTGGTGAGCCCACCAATATTCTGTGTAGCAGTCTTCTATAGTAGTCATTCATTGCCAAGTTAAAAAAAATGTTGACTCTGATGCTATCCTAGAAATAGCCTTGAATGCACATCTGTAGGTGTAGTCACTTACCTTTCGCTGGAGCAAGAAAATGCAGTGGTACTTTTCAGTTAATAGTCTGTTGAGTGAGTCCCACTGGTTTCCACGAAACCATTTTTATCACAGTAATTCCAACTTCATGCGTCAGATTTTGCCACTTGTTAAGCATGTCTTTCCAACTCTGTACTCAGGAAATGTATGAAGAACTACAGGATGGGTTTGGAGAACCTAAACTAATCATGAGATAGGTTTTAGACAGATTGTATCTGTCATATGAACTTAATAAAATGTACTTGCAGTGTTAGGGGCATCAATAATTATAACTCCTCCGAGTTAGTATATGAGTCCCTGAACTTTTTCTATGTTTTTCTTGAGTAAATGGCCACAACCCTTTTGAAGTGAAGATTAAAAACTCAGAATATTTCTATGTGTTGTTACACCAGAATTCTTTGATAAATATGTGGCTTCATATTTCTAGGTCTTCAGGCATCAGAATTAGATGTGTGAGTTTAAATCTCCAAAGGGAAAAAAACTAATGGGTTTACAATTTTTTAATTCCTATAAGCCATTTAAGGTTATTAGACTTTACAAAACGAAATAGTGCTTTGTATTTCAAACCTTGAAAGGAACATAGTCTCAACTCCAACTTTCATGATGGCTTAGAGACTTGGAAATAATGACTTGGGTTCCAAGAGCAGTGACTGCCGAAAGCACAAGGCAGAGCATTGAGGGGTTTGGGAAGGATAATGGGACCTGAAAGGACTTTTCTTTTTTTTTTTCTATTTTTTTTTTTTATAATTTATTTATTTATTGAATCACTGTGGGAAAAGTTACAAAGCTTTCAGGTTTTGGTCTCAGTCATGCAAATATCAAACACCTTTCCCTTTACCATTACTTACTTTTTACCACGAAGAACCCCAATAAAACCCCACCCCCACCCCTCCCAATGCCTGCAAGGCAGATGAATTCTAGTTGACACTCTTATCTGCTTTGATTAGATTCATTGTTGCAATAAAAGATGCACCACTATTATTTAGAGTTTACCCCCTCCCCCCAAATCAGACATGCTGAGAAAGCATTGTGAAGTGATTCGCTTTCTACAGCTGGGTTCAAGAATTAAATGTTGGTTTTGGATTTCCGCTATTTTGCTAATTAACCCTGGAAGTATTTCTACTGAGAGTCAGATAATTAAGAGATTGGTTTCTGGGCTCTGGAGTCGTGCCCATGCTGGAGAGCCGCTCGTGGGGGGCAACTGGTGGCCTCGGTAGGGCGTGAAGGACAGACCGGAACGCCCCCCCTTCCCATGAGGTTTTAGTCGCCCCCACACCCCTGGCTCACACCTGCTCGCCACAAGGCACCCATGTGGCCGCCATCTTCTTTCCAGAGAGGAGAGGGCGAATGGGCAACACCCTTTCCCCTCCGGGCAGACATGATGGCCTGGATTAACGCATAGTCCGTTCACTTTTCTGCTCCAAGCTGCTGAGTTCTGCATTAAGTCCTTGTGCTTCTGGGGCCGTGGCCGTGCTGGAGAGCCGCTCGTGGGGCTGAAAGGACTTTTCTTTAAGGTTGCTTGAATACATATGTGAGTGCAAAGCCCATGGAGAATATAGATGTGCTGGTATGTAGTTGGAGGATTATCTAAAAGCTCTCAAGAAATCCTCGTGGCCTGAATCTAAGTGTGACTTGGTTATAGAATATACCATCTCTGAGGACCACTTCATCAGTGTTGGAGAGAATAAAAAGGAGTAAAAGAAACAAGGTAAAATGTTTTGACATGTGAATAGGAGACTGATGTACTTCCTTTCTGGATTGCTGAAAGTCTTCAAATTATTGTACAGTCTGCTGTTTCATGAGTAGTTACCAACCTTCTTTCCCTTAAGAGGCCCAAAGATATTTTGGAGAAGATAATTGATTGAAAAAATATATGTGCCAAGTCCCTTTAGAATTTCTTGTCAAATGTCAGTCTCCCCACCGTTCCCCATAATTTTGATAACCATGGCCTGAGATACTTGATTAGATAATAACAATAGTCAACACATATACATACTATACTAGGCATGGTGCTAATGCTTTACAGATATGTTACTTCTCACAAGCATTGAAATGATATTTCTGCTTTGAAGATAAGCTAACTGACTTACTTGCTTGAAATGACTTCTCATGCATATACCATAAAACAAAGCTCACGCACACACACAGTGAATGTACTGAGATTTTAATTCATTGGTCTTTCCAAGACTTCAGACTCATAGAAACTTGACTATTGTCACCAAGTTTCTAGTTTTAATACACACTCTGTTACCTTGTTCCTGAGTACATGGGAGTTTGAGTAGAAGTGGGCTTATGTGATCTGGATCCATTTGGGAATCTATAGAGTTAGAATGTACATAGGAATCACTGGGATCAGCCTATGCCATTCTGTGCGCCACAACTACTTTTTGAGTCCCTTCTATTGAGCAAGCACTAGACAGAAAAGATCATTAACACCTGTCTTGCTCTTAAGAGCCTGTGGTCTAGTAGTTGTTAGGAAGATCAAGATTTGAAATTCAGTTGCAGGTTATGAGTGAGAAGAGTTAGAACACATGTCTTTCTGTCCTTTCTTAATAAAGGGACCTATTGACAAGTATAAGACAAGGCAGGGGGTATATTTGCCCTTATTCTAAAAGGAGTAACTTGTATTAATATAGATCGTGCATCCTGCAGTCAAAATACCTCATCTTAAATTTTGATTCCACCATGCACTCACAGTGTGATTTTGATGACATTTTAAAATCTCCTTGATCTGAGGGCCACTCCCAGTGATGCAAACCAGCAGTGCTTGGGGACCACCATTGGAGTGTAGGGGCTGTATTGTACTTGGGTCAAACTCAGGGCCTTGCAAATAGCAGACACGTGCTCTATCAATTGAGCTATCTCCCTGATGCACAGTGACTTTATTATCTCTTGGGACTTTCACTTTTTGCTCTGGAAGCCTAGAAGATTCAGAGTACCATTTGCTTTCTGGCACTGCTGCAACAATTCACCACAAACTGGGTGCCTTATAACAATACTAGTTTCTTCTCTCACAGTTGTCAAGAAATCTAACTCGAGTGGGCCCAGTAGCGTCTCCATTGTGACACTTGTTACTGTGTTTGGCATATCGAATACGTCACGGGGAGCTTGCCAGGCTTTGCCGAGATACTCTCGGTAGCTTGCTGGGCTCTCTGAAAGGGATGGAGGAATCGAACCTGGGTCGGCCACATGCAAGGCAAACGCCCTGCCCGCTGTTCTATCACTCCAGCCCCAGAGAAATAGTAACTTTGAATATTTCCATTCTGTAAGTATTCTGATTGTCTCTGAGTTTATATTTATTTCCTCCCTTTTTGTTTTCTCTAGGTTTTTTATACTCTTGTCATTCTCTTTTTCTTTAAAAATGATTTAGGTGTTTGGGTATATAGTATGTCCCATTTCTCAGTAGGCACTTTCATTAAATTTTGCACTGAGCTGTTTTAATTTTTTTCATTTTTATTCATATTAGCATTTTGTTCATTTATTTAGCTGGCAAGCTACCGAGAGTATTCCGCCCGCACGGCAGAGCCTGGCAAGCTCCTCGTGGCGTATCCAATATGCCAAAAACAGTAACAAGTCTCACAATGGAGACTTTACTGGTGCCCACTAGAGCAAATTGATGAACAATGGGAGGACAGTGCTACAGTGCTATTTTTTTAAAATGGGTGAGTTTTTATTGTTGAGAATTGCTTTTCTCTAACACTTCTTTGTGGTATCATAATGATCACCTCCCATAAATGACCCATAGGTCTTAAAGATAATACACTTGCTACTTGTAACCTGTGGAATTCAGAGTGTATCATGTTATCTTTTAAACTATTTTATTCATCATACTCATTCATTGTACTCATCATTATACTCATGTCTTCCATCTAAATGGGACTGTCTCCATATGTTCCAGGCCATATTACATATGTACTTAGAATCCTTGCAAAGTGAAACAGGCTGGTCCATGTCTGGATACTCAGTGCTAAACTAGCCCCTAGGCTCTGTGCTAGGCTTCTCAGCAGGGTCTTGAGATCTCTGATCTGGAATTGACTTGGAATCCAAATTGGATACTGACTCTGAGCCCGGGATTATAGTACCCAGATGGGTCTAGGTGATCTGGCTTTACCACTACTCTCAAGCACCTCTCTGGATTCTGGACCTTGAATGAGGCTTGAGGCTTAACTGGATTCTGAACAGTTGAAACCCAACATAGACATTTTGAGTTTCCCTCCAGTTGAGTTCATTTCGGAAGTGAAAGGGAAAATAATGAACACATGGAAGGAAATAATATATTCTTTATTACAAAGCCCAACTGGCAGCTCAGGAAGCAGATAAATAGACCACAGAAGACTCGCTACAACAGAGCAGTCAGAACCAGGGAGGGAGGAAGAGGTGGGGAAATGAACTGCTGAACGTGAACAGCCATGTCTTCCAACTACTCTCACTACTCTAGGAACCCTCCCTGTCAAGGAAAAATGTTTCTGTTAGGCTAGTTTTGCCTCCTCCTGGGACACACTAGTAACACATTCCCAGGAAAAGGCCTCTGGTGAATATGAAAGCATTTGAAGATGCTCAACCATCTTCAGGACTTAGCAGCAGTCAATCTGAAAAGCAGGACCCACGTCAGGAAGCCAGCCAGCAGCTTCTGGGCACCGGTCCGAGGAGGAAATGTAGTAGTGGCCCTTTCTTTAGCCAAGGAGCAGTCTCGGAGGGCACCGGAACAGCAGGAATGCCACCATCTTGGTTTCATTCTCCCTTTAGGATTATGCGGGTTTTTGCATCTCCAATGAAAAACCTACCAAAAAAATGACCCAGTGAGGTCTCTGAACCTCCAGGAAGAGATCCAGTGTCTCTGCCCCCATTTTTATCCACAGATAGATCTTCCTGAGCTTTTCAGCCTCAATGACCAGCCCCCTGAGGGAGAGGGGGGAAAGTCTCCTGCTTAGTTTTCAACCCTTATCCTGAAGAGACTCATCTTGGTCATTCTGAAAGCAACAGACATAAAATTATTAGTGATGCTTTTCTCTGAACCCTAAGCTCAGCAGGACTGCAGATGGCCAATGATGCAGACAATTTAGATCAGCCCAACTCAGTACCTGTCCTCTCAGATAGAGAAACAATTGTACTGAACCTGGCCACTACTCCCTACATGATCTGAAGGAAATGGCCTCTACAGATTCTTGAAACCCATAAGGAGAAGCAGTCAAGTAGATAATAACCTCCTGATCATATCAACCCAGTTTTCTTCTGGATAAAGGAGAGAGCCCTGTTCACATATTTTATGCAAATGGTATTCACTGACATGCTTTTGGAGGTAGAATTCACATTATTTTTTAATGTGGGATGAACCCTTAGAGATGTGCAGTGTCTCCCCAACTCTTGACTCTGATCACCTTAAGTAAGATTGAGCCCACCTCTACTCCAGTAGAAGGCTCATGTCACAGTAAGGGTACCTGACCCCCCAGGTACAGTGACTGTTCAAGATATAAACATAATCTACGCCAGTCCAGATCAGGACTTATTAGCTAGAACTATTCTGCCTCCTGTGTAGTTATTTAACCGCAAAGATATACAACTGGAGTGCCAGGCTAGCATCCTTGCCTCAATTGGAGAACAAACAAGTATGAAGTCACATGGGGGATATCTTCCCTGTGAGAAAGTTCGAGTCTGAAAGACCGAGCACCTACCTGAAAGCTAAGTTACCCGTGAACCTTTCTGTGTGTAAAATACAAAAAAATCTTTTGCCACAAACTGTGCTGAGATGGATCCCTGTCATTTGCAACAAATCCTTCTTTGTCTCTCAAGAAGGATCTCTTTCCTGGAACAACCAAGTAAGACTGTAGTCTTTTAGCCCTGAGCACTCTGGGATCTGTTACTAGGTGCTACAATACAGACTATGACCTTTGTCACATTCATACCTGACAAGCATTCCTACGAACATGCTGGCCAGGAGCGGGCCCAGCCAGTAGATCCAGTGGTAATCCCAGCGGCCGGCCACCACTGCAGGTCCAAAGGCACGGGCAGGATTCATGCAGGCTCCAGACACAGCTCCCCTGCAAACACCCAGCCACACGAGTCACCAGAAGCCGGGCCAGGCCCCACTCACCTCAAGTGCCTTTCTCCAACTTGGTTTAGTGGCAGTAGGCCCAGAAACTCAGGGGTTTGACAGAGAGCCAAGTGGGGCTAGTTTCCAAAGAAGACACAGCTAAAGCATTTACTGGGCAGCACCGTGCTTAGTTGGTCAACTAGGACAGGAAGAGAAGACAGACCTGGGTCCTCTACAAAGTGGATAAAGCAATGTCAAAGAATTCTTAACTTTGGACACTTTGGAGTCGAGATGGCCTTTATTCAAGACCATCTGCTCGATTTATAGCTGCAGGACCTTTTATTTAATTTTATTTATTCCCATGTTCCTGCTGAGGTAAAAGCACCTATTTCATGGGTTGCCATCAGAACAGGAAGATGAGAATAGGGAAAAATGCAGATCCTGAGTCTCCTATATAATTAACATATCGATAGATAAATGTTGACTCTAATCTTCCTCTATTTGAGGCCCTTGTTGTCCCTACTACAGGGGGACTTCCCCAGGCACATTTTCATTTCTGAAGTGTGAACCTGCCCCATCCTGCAGACAGCACCCCCACCCCTGTCTTGCGAGTAAATGGAATGCCACTAGGGGGCAGCAAAGCATAGCCATGGTTTGACTCGCTTTCCCCGCATCCCCAGACTCTCCTTCCAAGAATGAGGGGGCTTGGGGCAGGGAGCCAAACTCTTCTTTCAAGAGAAAGGGCTTCCCTCCTCCCGGTTAACAAAAGTTTTGGGTTCCTGCCCCAGATCTGTCACTTCATTTGCCTCTGCCCGATGACCTCAAGTAAATGAATTATGTCCTCTCTGAGCCTCAGTTTCCTCATATATCAGGTAAAGGTAAAGGTAAAGGCCCTCCCGTTGATCGTCGATTTGCTCGAGCGGGCCCAGTAACGTCTCCATTGGAGACTTTGTTGTTACTGTGTCTGGCATATCGAATACTCTCGGCAGCTTGCCGGGCTCTCCGAGAGGGGCGGAGGAATCGAACTCGGGTCGGCCATGTTGGCCGCTTGTAAGGCGAACGCCCTACCCGCTGTGCTATCGCTCCTCATATATCAATTAGGAGAAATAATCCCCGTCCTGGTCTTGTTTCTCTAATCCTTTCCCAGGCCTGACTGGCTCACCATAAATGAGACCATGGGTACTCTTCGTATTTTTGAGGGTTTTTTGTACATTTTGAGGCTTTTTGTAAGTCAGTGGTTAAAGCCTGGCAGCCCCCTGGCTGAACAAACACAGCCTGCAGGATTGTTCTACTGATAGTGAAATCAAGACATTTTACATAAAGATCTCCTTTCCTGACTTCCGGGAAACAAAATTAGAAGTTTTATCTTAGGCCCACATCCCCCCAGGAAAAATTGAGAAGTGACTAGAGGTGATTTCCTGGTCTTCCCATTTTTCCCATTTGCATTCCCTTCCTGGGCCCTAGAGAAGAATGAGTCTTCCCCGCCCCTCCTCTGCTGGCCTGATCTTCCCTGCCCCCCCCCCGCCCCCCTTCCCCACCCCAGCCGAGCCAGGGTCCAGGGTTGTGCACACGGTCCCACCTCAATGAATGGTGCTCACCCTGCCAGGATATCCACCGTCACAGAAAAACCAATGGAGAATGGGGCCAGCGGGCTCTGTGTCTTCTCATTGATGGCGCCCATGCAGACAGCCAGTATCAGTACAGTGGTCAGGATGATCTCTGCCACCACAGCCCCTGCCACCTGCCCGTGCTCCTGGACCGTCACAAAGGCCGCCCCTGACACATTCTGGAACCTCTCCCCAGGAGTCACTGCCTGTGGAGAGAAGTCACTTGGCCTCACAGTAGGGGCAGGAGATAGTGGACACTGAGGAAAGGGGGCTTCAAAATGCTTTAAGATGGGGGGAGGGGTGCCCGTACAGCATATCTGGTTCACATCCCGGCACATCTGACTTTTACCACATGTGAGGTCTCTGACTCTCTGAGCCTTATCTGGCTCACTGGGCAGTGAGGCTAGCTGAAAGGAGGACCCACTGGTCATTCACTGACAATCGGGTGAGTGCCCTGGGCAGGGGTGTGCTCAAGAAGAGTCCTGCTACTCAATTCCATCAGCTTCGCAGGATGTTGGCCATGGAGCCGCGTTGTCTGTCCCATACTCCCACAGGGGACGACAGCAGAGCACTCATACTCCTAGAGTTGGAATCCAAATCTGTGCCACTGCTGACCAGACTGAGCTGAGGCGGATTTCACTGTGCCTCTGTAAAGGGAAGGTGGTAATACTCGCCTCCCGGCTGGGAGCACTCTCCGAAGAGAAGCTGGCTTTTTTGAGGTTGTTAGGAGCTGAGTTGCAAGGGACGATACGCAAAGTGCTTAGCAAGGAAGAGGTGCTGTATTGTGCTGGAACCTTTAGGCTCGCCACATTTGCACCAGAGTCAGAAAACTACTTTCTGTCCAGAGAGAAGCAAAGAACAGATCTCTGACACACTTAGAACAGAATCTCAGATGGAAGCACAGGTAGGCCAGGGCGGGGAAGAAATGGGAGTTCAAACCCAAATCTTCACTGAACCAGCACTTAAAGCTTTTAGAACCAGCCCCAGCCAGGCAAACACCCACAACCACCCCTCCACCCAACACATGTGCTCAGGAGTATGCGCGCGCACACAGAGGTGGGGAGAAGAAAGAAAAGGGATAAAGAAGAAGTCATAGTGAACAAGGAAGAGGAGAAGAATGATAAAAATCTTCCTAAAAAAGAATTTAAAAGAAGAGGTAACTTTCAAATTGAGAAGATTGCAAGCATACATTGAACATCGACTTTTCTAAAGGTAGAGTCTTTCAGGTAAAAGGTAGGCAAATTGGAGAACACCAAACCATTAGTTTAGGAGCTCTTCAAGGAGAATCGCCATATTCATCCTGTAAGAACCCAATGAGACGAGACGCTTAAAGAATGAAGAAATGCAGGAGTGGCTGAGTAAAAATAGGATTCAAGGCCAGAAATAGACGGAAATAGAAGGGAACGCTGGAGTCATGAATTATTCTTCTGGTCTGTATGAGAAACAGTTGTGTCCACACGTAGACAGAACAGAGTGGGTTTAGAGGGAATCAAAGATTCTTTGAGCTTTCCTGCCCCAGTGAAACATCCCACCCAATCCCACTGAAGAGAACGGAAAAGAGTTGGCTAGACTTCACTTTACACACACACACACACACACACACACACACACACACACACTCTAGCACCCCCATTAAAGGTAAGGGGACCAGTCCTGGCTCCTTGGGGATCACCTACCTTGGCCAACGCAGCCCCAATCAGCCCCCCGCACAGCTGGGAGATCCAGTAGGGAAGGAGCATGATCATCTTGAGGCCTCCAATCAGCATCGCTGCCAGGGACACCGCAGGGTTAAAGTGTCCACCGCTGTCAACCAAAACAGCAAAAGGAACTCATGAGCTCAAAGTTCAGGCTATCACAAGAGGAAATGTCTGCCCAGCTCCCTGGCTGTCCTTGAGTCCGGAGTCATTAGAGGACCCAGCTCGGGTAGAACAAAGGCCCAGACCTCACTCATTTCTTCTGCATTGTCAGTGGGTGGAGCAAGGGCTGTGGTGGAGAGTTTGGGATGAGGAACAGACCCCTTCCTACACCACTCTACAATGGCCCTGAGGAAGAGGAGCTGTCCCTCAGTGATTCCTACTTGAACGTGCTGAATGGACATGTACAGACAGCATTATAGTTGTAGGTAGCACTCAACAGAAACCGGGTATTCTAACTGCCCATACTTTTAAAATTATTTTTATTTATTTATTTTTGCTTTGGGGGTGACACCCAGCGATGCTCAGGGGTTCTCCTGGCTCTGCACTCAGGAATTACTCCTGGCGGTGCTCAGGGGACCATATGGGATGCTGGGGATCGAACCCGGGTGAGCCACATGCAAGGCAAATGCTCTCCCCACTGTACTAGCACCCTGGCCCATAACTGTGCCCATCTATACCACTGCACATAGCTGCTTGCCTGTTCACACAGATAAGGAGTAACAAAGAAACAAAGGGTGATACCACCCCTATACTCTTCCAGGGACCTCTGAAACTCCTCCCAGCCTTCAGAGATTTGGCTGAACCACAGAGCTGAGACCTGTACAGGTTCCCAAGGAACACGCCAAGAAAGATGTTCTGACTTCCCTCATAAACAACCAGACTCTGAATAAAAGTCCAATTTTTTATCTGAACATGTGATTCATATTGGGTATGAAAATGATACTGGGGGTTGGAGTGATTTTTTTAGTGGATGTTGCATTTGTCTTGCACACAACTGACCCTGGTTCAATCCCTGACATCCTATATGGTCCCGAGCACTGCCAGGAGTAATTCCTACATGCAAATCCAGGAGTAAATCCTGAGTATTGCCAGATGTGAACCCAAGACTCCAACCCCCAAATGAGATTAGGGGCTATAGCATAAAGAATTGGGGGGGGGGGTGTTCATAGAGATAGTATAACCAATATGGTGCTTGCTTTGTGCGTGACCAATCTGAATTCAATTCCTGGCACCTCATATGGTTCTCTGAGTCCTACCAGTAGTTATCTCTCACTACAGAGCCAGGAGTAAGCCCTGCCTATAGCCGGTTGAGGCCCAAAAGAAAAAAAAAGAAAAAAAATTGAGGTGCGGTTAGAGAATTTGGGTCTGGAGCTTGGGCTGTGAAGGGAAGGGAATTAAAACAAAAGTTGAAGCTGTCATCCAAGGGTAGATTGAAGTTAGCCAGCTTCCTCCCTTGTCCACAGGTTAGGTAAAGGTAAAAGGTAAAGGCCCTCCCGTTGATCGTCGATTTGCTCGAGCGGGCCCAGTAACGTCTCCATTGGAGACTTTGTTGTTACTGTGTTTGGCATATCGAATACGTCACGGGGAGCTTGCCAGGCTCTGCCGTGCGGGCGAGATACTCTCGGTAGCTTGCCGGGCTCTCCGAGAGGGGCGGAGGAACCGAACTCGGGTTGGCCATGTTGGCTGCGTGCAAGGCAAACGTCCTACCGCTATGCTATCGCTCTAGCCCACAGGTTAAGAGCTTTAAAACCAGAATATTCAGCCAGGCCAATAACCAGATTCACCCCTGATACTCCTATCAGCATCCTATCCAGTCCTCAGAGATTAACCCACTAAGTCGTTTTGGTCCTTATACGGGAAACCCCTCCATCAGAAGCAAAATGATTACCTCTTTAAGGCGATAGCACAGCAGGTAGGGCATTTGCCTTGCACGCGGCTTGGGTTCGATTCCTCCGTCCCTCTTGGAGGACCCGGCAAGCTATCGAGAGTATCCCGCCTGCATGACAGAGCCTGGCAAGCTCCCCGTGGCGTATTGGGGACAGTAACAACAAGTCTCACAATGGAGATGTTACTGGTGCCCGCTGGAGCAAATCAATTAACAATGGGAGGACAATGCTACAGTGCAGTGCTCTCATATAAAAGTTACAGTATCCTGTAGCAAGAAGACTCCCCCAGTGGGTCGCCCTATCCCCAATAGACAGTAGGCATTAAACTAAGACTGGACAGTGAAGCTTGGCACTAGACAAAAGGACTTTGTCTAACACACTGGTATCTTGGGATCAGTTGCCCCAACTCATCTGATCTAGTTCAGTGTGTTGTACCTTGTGGGAATTTTCTGTGTGACTTCGAAGCACCAGCCAATGCTCAGACTTAAGAGAGACCGTTGAACCTTCTTGGGCCCAATTTAGTATCATGAACTTGTTTAGCCTGAGTTCTGCCTGTCGAAGCATCGGGCTACCATAGCGGTGGCATGGCCTGCCACAGATCACTGTAGAATTAGAACCCTCTCTGGCCTTTGGCCTCTCCTCAACCAGATCACCTGGCCCAAACACAGAGAGAAACAGTTAGCCAGAGCATGAGTCAGCCACGAGAGGGCTGAAGGCTGGGGCAACTGGAACACCATGCGTGTTCTCAAGTCTAACCACACTTGTTAATAATAAAACCGTCCAGATTACTTTCTTAGTTTATTCATTCCATTTTCTCAACAAATATTGATTGAAGACCTACAGATACCATGTCAGGTGCTTTAAATATGGTAACTTATCTTGGATTCATTCAACAATTTCAGAGATACTGCCTAGTACACAGTAGGCTCTGAATAAATATTTGTTGAAAAAGCAAATGAGTGAATAAAGGTGTTTATTCCATGTAGGCAGTCTACTGCAGTGTATATGAGCTAGCCAGCTGGCCTGTATTGCAAGGCCAACTCTGCCCCTGAATAGCTGTATGACCTTGAGCAAGTTAAATAACTTCTCTGTTCCTTAGTGACTTCTCTCTCAAAATGCTGAATGGACTTGCACAGACAGCATTACAGTCGTAGATAGTATTCAAGAGATACCAAGTATTATAACTGTGCCCATTTATGCCACTGCACATAGCAACTTGCTTGTTCACCCAGATAAGGTGTAACAAAGATTGCACTCAACCTCAGACCAATTGGAAGTAATTTCACCTGTAACCTTCTTTAGACGTTTAAAAAGAAATATTAATGTTCTTTTTCCATTCTAGTTTTCTAGGGACAGTAACTTAACTTCTTTATCAAAGTTATTTTTTTTTAGTGTTGAACTTTATTAAGTACTAAATAAAGTAGGATTGGATGGTTGTGAATAAATTTTGAAAATATGCTAAGTAAAAGAAAATCAATTTGGGGGGCTGGAGCGATACCATAACAGGTAGGGCATTTGCCTCGCATGTGGCTCGGGAGAGGGGAAGGCATCTGGGGGGCTCACAAGGCCAGACATCAGGGCTGAGGCTCACAGGCTGGGCTCTGGACGAGCTGGCTGGGAAATGGCACTTGCTCCCCTGCACACTCTTATTTCTGGGGCCTGGGGCCACTTTTAAAGGCGCAACTACCCATATGGGATGCTGGGAATAGAATCCAGGTCAGCCGCATGCAAGGCAAACGCTCTACCTGCTGTGCTATTGCTCCAGCCTCTCGAAGATATTTTCTTATTGAGACTAAAACATGGACCAAATGTCCTAGGTCCTGTTGCCAGAAGGCCCTTCAAGATAGTCGTCATTAAGGGGGATTTCCTGAGAGGCCACTCACAACCCCCACAGAGCCCCCACCCAACGGAGTGCCATACAGGAGAAGGTCCTCTGACACGCCCCTCCTGTCTGCTCAGCTAGGTAGTCTAAGACCATAGCCAGTCCACTGTGGGTACCTTTGGACCCAGGTGGAACGCTGCCCCCCTCCCCATCCCCACGGGCTCTGCCTTATACCTGCTCAGCTCATGCGTCATTTCATTCTTGTGCCTCCCTTAGGTGGCACTGGTTGGACAGTTGGCATTGGGCAGCTTGGATGTACCCTCTGGTTCTGCCACTTCCCAGCCGTATAACCCTGGACAGCCTACATGACCTTCTCCATCACTGGGGAAAGGGCCTAATTACAGTGCTGAGGCTGCTGTGAGAAGCCACTAAGTCACTGTTAGAGTCTTACATCAGGCTCTGGCCCCTCGACAGCTCTCTACGTGCTGGCTGGAGAAAAAAAAATTACTTTTAACTACTCTTTTATTCCCTCTTCCTAGAAGGGAAGGCTTGGGATTGGAGAAATGGCTCAAAACCACAGATCCCCTGGGCCGAAGCGCTGGGTTTGACTTCCCCAGCCCACACTCCCTTTCCACATCCTGGGCATGTGTCCCGGGTGGGGGTCCCTGCCAACCAAACCACTCCCCAGCCCAGAGCCCAGGCAAAGCCTCACCTGATGTTCCCCAGCGTGGCGATGACCAGGCCCAGGGCCAGCCCGTGCGCCAGCGCCGGCTGCAGCAGCCCCAGGTGCGCCTCGTTCCCGATGACAGATAAGCATCCAACGAAGATGAAGAGGGCAGAGCCCAGCAGTTCCACCAGACACGGCTGCACAAACCGCTCGTACCAGGCCCCGCGCCAACTGCGCCCCACGCTGGGCTCCGTCACTTTGTCACTGCCCAGCTCGGGGTCACTCATAGCAGCGGCTGGCTGCTGGGGACAAGGAGAGAGGGCACCGGTGGAGAGCTCGAAAGCCTAAACCCGGGACCCCCCACCAGCTTGAATTAGTTCTCAGCGTGCCTCCCCCACAAACCCCAGGAGGGAGAGGGGGAGGCAGCTGGGGGGCTCACCAGGCCGGACATCAGGACTGAGGCTCACGGGCTGGGCTCTGGACGGGCTGGCTGGGAAGTGGCACTTGCTCCCCTGCACACTCTTATCTCTGGGGCCTGGGGCCGCTTTTAAAGGCGCAGAGACTCTCTGAGGGAGCCAGAGAGCAACAGAGCCAAGTGGGAGGAGGCCTGGAGGCCAGGAGAGGAATCTTTCTGTTGTTTTTTTTTCATCTCAGCTGGGCAGGGCAGGGGGGTGGTCCTGGATTTGTGAACTTTCTGCCAATCAGGAGAAGGTGGTATTTGAGCTGTATCTTCTGGGGAGCACAGCAGAGGTCCCCAAGAGGGGATGGAGGTTCTAGTTTCCCAGCCTCGCAGAAGACCACCAGGTAGAAGGGGCCAGAGGCAGACCAACCCCCAACCCCACCCCCCACCCCGGGTTGGGCCTGCACATGGGAAGTTGGAGGAAATTAATTCTTCAGGCTTTTCCACGATGCCCTTGCAGCTGAGACCTTCACACCACACCACCCCGTCTTGTGAACCTGACTGGGACTGAGCATGCGCACAGGTGAACCCCCTTCCTCCCCCAGCCACGGGGAGGCCATGTGGCACCATAACCGTCATCCAGCCCAGGGCCTTAGGGGACAGGCTCCTGGGATTTTATTCCCATCTTTGCCTTTTTATTCCTATTTGATTTTATTCCCATCTTTGAACTGGCTCTGTCAGCTGCAGGGACTGGTTCAGCCTGTCTGCCCCTGCCAGCTCCCAGCATTCTTCCCTGGGATGTGCGGGTGAGGGTGGGCACACCCGTGACCCAGGCTGGTGCTGAGTCTTCTCGGAGTTCATGTCATGAAAAATGGTGATGATAAGACTCACAGAACCAATGCCAGTGTCGACTAATTCAAAACATAGATTTATATGTAACTTATATTGTGGGTCACATCTGGCAGGTCTGGGGGCCCCAGACCACCCTGCTGTGGTATTCACTCAATGATCCTGGCACAGGGGATGGAACCCAAGTAAGTATGTGCTCTATCACTTGAACCACATTCCTGGCCCTGTAACGAGCATTCATTGAGCTATTTCTCTAGGCCAGACACTGGGAAAAATATCATAGACTATCACCTCATTGGAGCTTCCCAACAACTCTCTGAAGTAGTCGCTTTTATTCCAACCCTTCTACAGATGAAGAAGCAATATTAAAGGGGGTTCTTGACCAGGTTTACACAGCTTCTATGATTCCAAAACTTATGAGCCGAGTTAGAAAAGAGTAAATCCTGTGCAATTCCACTTATGTCAGCTACTTAAAACAGTCAAATCATAGGCAAATTCACCAAAGCAGAAAGTAAATAATGATTTCCAGGGGTTGAAGTGATAGGGGTTTGGAAATAGTTAATAGCCGTAGCTTCTATTTGGGGAGATGAAAATTTTCTGTAAAATGGAGGATGGTGATGGTCGTGAATGAGCTTAGTGCTACTATAGATGTACTTAGCACCACTGGACACGTGCTTTAAAATGATTTAAGTTGTGGGCTGGAGCGATAGCACAGCGGGTAGGGCATTTGCCTTGCACGCAGTCAACATGGCCAACACAGGTTCAATTCCCAGCACCCCATATGGTCCCCTGAGCACGCCAGGAGCAATTCCTGAGTGCATGAGCCAGGAGTAACCCCTGAGCATAGCCGGGTGTGACCCAAAAAGTAAAAAAAAAAAAAAATGATTTAAGTTGTGGAGTTCATGCCCAATTCAATCAGCCAAATCAGTGGCTGAATAATAGCAGTACTCCTACATAAAAATAAATAAAATAAAATAATTTAAGTGGTCAATTTCAGGTTAAATATATTTTTCACAACTCAGAAAAATATTCCTGCCCTTTCTGAGTATAAGTGGGTGGATGGATAGAATAATAAATAGTTGGAAGAATTAAGCAGATGGATTGAGAGATGGACAAAGGAAGGAAAACAAGAGAGAGAAAAGATACACTGCGAGGTGCCACCGTTTAAAATAATGGCTGGAATATAACAGTGAACAAAGCAGGCAAAGATTCTGTTCTTTCTCATTATTATTATGGAATAGGTATAAGTAGGCACACATACATTAATAATGTATGGGGATAAGGAGGTTTTATCATTTCTACCATTCGTTAGCTACTAACTACATCTCTAGCACTGCTCTTAAGAAATCTGCATTTTGGGGCTGGAGCGATAGCACAGTGGGTAGGGTGTCTGATTTGCATGTGGCTCACCTGGGTTCGATTCCCAGCATCCCATATGGTCCCCCCAAGCACCACTAGGAGTAATTCCCAAGTGCATGAGCCAGGAGTAACCCCTGTGCATCGCCAGGTGTGACCCAAAAAGCAAAAAAGAAAGAGAGAAAGAAAGAAAGAAAGAAAGAAAGGAAGGAAGGAAGGAAGGAAGGAAGAAAGAAAGAAAGAAAGAAGAAAGAAAGAAAGAAAGAAAGAAAGAAAGAAAGAAAGAAAGAAAGAAAAAGTAAGCAAGCAAGCTGCATTTTTTATAAGAAGTATCCTTCCTACTGGGGTTGTCCTATTCCTTGACCATCTTCAGATGATTAAAAAGAAAGCACAAAGAAGTTAAAGAACTCGCTCAAGGTCCTGTGGATGAGTAGTGTCTGATTCCAGGCAGGGGTGGCTGCTTTTGGACACAGTTGACAATCTGCTGACAGGAGCTTCCAGCTGGAGATCCAGAGTAACCTCTATGGAGTGTCTGTACATCCCCCAAGGCTAAGGGACTGTACCCTTATTGTTCATCCTCAGACCTCTTCTCCTCCTCCCCATCCCCACAGCACATTTCACAAGATGTCCTCATACCCTTCCTCCCGAGTCCCTGAAAATGGCAACATAAGGAAACTCCTGATTTCAAGTGCTGCTCCCAGAATACTCCTCTCCTGCTTTCTCCAAGGTTGTCATCTGTTCTTGCTTCGTCTCTTAGAAAAAAAAATCAAACATTGATTCTATACTGTACAGATACTAAGTTTTCTGGGGTATCATGCATGCATTTTTCTCTCTGAAGTCTTAGAATAACTGATTATTTTCCCCAATGCAGAGACAGACACTCTCAGCTTGCATGAGTTGCTACAAAATCTCCTCAGCGTTCTCCTTGCCTTATCCAGCTTTAATGCAGTCTTTTCATGTTGGGGGTCCATGGGGGCACACAACTTGACATTTGGGATCAGTCTGGGAAATCGATTTCCCTACCTTTGTCACTGCTCTCCCTGCCTCCATTTTAACTTCTGTTAAAGTGGGCTAACGGTGGAATTCATGTCCAGAGTCACTGTAGGGACTGCACAAGACATATACTTAACACGGTGACCAAATCAGAGCAGTCACCCAATAAATAGTGACTGTTTTATATGGTTTGTTATAGTCAGAATGGGCTAAGTGGAAGGACAAATCACTCCAGCGTTCCAATGGCTGGAAACACTCAACGTTGATTCCTTGCTTACATCAGAGTTCATAATAGGCTCTTCCCTGGACGGTGACTGGGGGGTCCAGGCCGCTTTCATCTTGGCATTCCACCATGTAGGTCCTCAGAGTTTCTCCAACAGCTTGCCAACAAGGAGTGAGAGAATGCAGAGGCTCATGCAGAAGGTTTGGGGTGTAGGGCTAGAAATGAAAAATATCACTCTCATCCAAACAGGGCCAGCTCGGATTCAGTCATGTGGTTTCACCTGACCACAGAAGATCCTGGGAACGGTGTCTAGCTGTGTTTCTAGGAGGAAAGAGAAAGGCATTTTGTGAGCATGGAACAAGTCCTGCCACATGGCAGTTGAGGTTGTTGTCGCTCTGCCAATCTAATCAGACACGTCCCTGACTTAAAACTCCAAGTTTTAAAACTTCTCATGGCTTTCAAGGCAAAACCAAAACCCCACAGTCAGTCCCGTTGTTGAGTCCTACCCCACCTTCAGTTCCCTAACCCTAAACAGTTCATTAGATGAGTCACCCAGCCTCTCTGTCATGCTGTACTTTCTCTGTATTTGGAGTTCCCTTGTTAGACAACTTGAAGTTCTCTTCCAGTCTCTGATCCGGGGTCCATCTTCCCTGGCACCTGGGCCAACATGCTCTAAATTCTCCAGACTTACCTTCCCTAGTTCAAGTCAGGCTTACACTGAATAACTCAGAACCAAAAAGTGATTATCACTCAGGCCAAATCCTCCCTGTGCTGCACACAAACGTTTGCATGATTTCTCCAAATATGGTATACTGACACCTCCAAAAATAGCTCGGAGAGAATGTCTTCCTAAGAAATTGTTTGTCAATTTTTTTAATTTGCTTTTTGGGTCACACCCAGTGATGCACAGGGCTTCGCACTCAGGAACTACTCCTGGTGGTGCTTGGGGGACCATTGGGGATTCTGGGAATCGAACCCGAGTCAGCCGCATGCAAGGCCCTACCTGCTGTGCTATCACTCCAGCCCGAGTCTGGCAAATTTTTAAGTTCTTCCAACTCCAGGTCTGGTCGATAGAGCTATGGTCTCTCGTTTTTATCTCTGCTTGAATGACAATAATTCAAAAGGTCTCTAGAGTTGTAGAGCTATCCTGCACCCAACTCCTGGTGGTGTACAAAGTAGGTCGTATTTATTCCAGGCACTCTTTCCCTTCTTCCTTTCTCTCATTGATGGCTGTGATGTGCAAGAATATGAATCCTTAGGGCCTTGGGGATGGCTTGGAGACAACACACCTGCCTTGCAAGCATGTGACTACAGGTTTGATTCCCTGTGCTGCACACATACATGAAATTGGTGTCAGCAGCTTCTACTATTTGGGACCTTAACATAGCTATAGACTGTGTAAGCTCTGGCACACCACAACTCATTGTGTGATAGAATGGAGCTAACATATACAGGGCTGGAGAAGG